TGCATTAAAAATTCAGAAGATGTAAGGAATAGTCCTTGGCAGAAGTGGTAATAGTCAAAGAGGCATGAAAGATTATTCTAATATTCCAGAATGAAAAAGGGAAAGGCAGGCAAAACAGAAATACATAAAACAAATATTAGAGATAAAAAGTCTAATTACAGAGAGGCTCTGCTTACGAGCTCTGATGAGAGGCCCATAAGCGAGGACAAACAGGACCAGAGCATGTACCTATAGGAAGAGTGACAGGAGGCTGAAGGTTAGAATATAGTGAGGCTGAAAAATGCTAACGGTAATAAAAATGGTCCTTTTAGTTCTTTTGGGGCCAAGGAGTTTGTCAACGAAAGGGCAGACCTATTGCTCGGAGGTAATAGTGGAAAAAATGCTGAAGCATGTTCTAATTCTCTTTCTCCTCTTGTCTGCAGCCGGGAGAAGTATCTTCAACTTGAAATGGTGAAGTAAACTAAAGAGCAGGCGCTGATGCCCATGATAAGAGAAAGAACTGTCATCAATGAGTACCTGTTTTATGCCCATCTCTGTGTTCTAATGAAATCCCATAATAACTCAGAAAAGTAGGTGTTATGACCAGCAGCTCCTTCTCCCCTCCACTCCCACCCCCTCACGCTTTCGTCAGCACCTAGATTGCAATAGGAAGGAAATGTAGTAAAGGTAGTAAATCTATATTTCAGCGAGTCATTTGAGAAGGTGCTGATGAATTAAACTGGGAAAACGTATGTGGATAATGTTAAGATGAAGTAGTTTCACAATTAATTGAACAACTCGATGTATTGTCTGGGGACCCAGGTTTGCACCTGGATATGCCATTTATCAGATGGGGGACCTTGCTTACATTAAACTCTCGAAACTACGATTTCTCTCTTCTGTAAAACAATACTACTTACCTCATAAGTCAGTCATAAAGATTGTTAGATCATGTATATTAGTCATTTTGTAAGTTACAATGTATTACATGACAATAACTACTATTGATATTAGTAGTACTAACAGGGGTCGTGAAACTTTGATCTTGACCTGATTTTATTAAAGATATGGATGAAAGCAGAGGAAACACTCTTATCAGATTTGCAGATGACACAGAGCTAGCAGGGAAAGCTGATATGTTTGATGAGTCATAATAATTCAGAGTTTATGCTAGAGTTAGGACAGTCATAATGATTTTGGCAGGCTGGAATATTTGAAAAGAACAATGAGAAAACATTTAGTAAGAATTAACTTTCATATCTGTTTGGCAAAAGCCAAAATTCCCCAAGGGCAGAATGAGGCTGCTGTTCATGCAAAGGAGGGTCTGGGCGGCTTGGTCGTCCTCCAGCCCAGGCTGCGAGAGCTATGTAAGGCGGCTACAGAAAAAAGCAATGGAATCATAGGTTGTGTCTATGGAAGTAGAGGCCTAGCCTAGTACTCTTGTTGGGCTAGTACCCACCTGGAGCCATTGGCTTCATTCTGGAGAAGATAGACAGAGGATGAGCAAGATTTTTAGTAAGTGACAAATGCTTGAAAGGATTGGAAGTGCCTGGGAAAGAAAATACATAGTGATAGTAATAATTACAATTACAATTACTACAACCATAGCAGTAGCTAATATTTATTGAGTACTTATGTATCTAGAATTGTCGTTTATCTGTGTTATCTCATCTAATCTTCTCAGCAACCTTGTGAAGTAAGTAGCATTGTCACCCCTGCTTCCTATTTTATAGATGATAAAAGACTTAGGATAAATGGCTCACTCAAGGTTATATAGCTGGTATATGAAGGAGCATATATTTCAACTCTGGTGTCCTTATCTAGAACAGTTACTTTTAGCTAGCTTGCTATGCTGCTTTCTAAGAGTTGGGGAAAGTAATCTAGCTAACTTGAGATGTTTGAAGGGCTATCATGTGGAAGAGGGACAGGCCCTTTATTACATAGTTCTAGAAGGTAGTGCTAGTCCTAGGAAGTATAACATTTGGGAAGGAAGGTTTAGGCTAGGCGTTAGAAAGAAGAATCTAACTATTAGAGACTAAAGAGTGGGCTGTGTTGCAGAGCTTATTTCTCCAGCCCCTTTGCCAGGCAGAAGTCAGACGGTCACGTCTTAGGGTTTCTCTTGGTGCTCTGGGATTGTTCTAGGTAACCTCAACAACTCCTTCAAAATTCTATAATTTTATTAGACTTGTTCTTGGCCAAAGGTATAAATCAGGACTCATAACTTCAAGTGGCAGGAACTCAACTAACTATAGCTAAAATATGTAGACTCTCTTAGAAATGAAAGGATACAACTGATTCTCAGTCATAATGGGACCAAAAACATGAAGTCTAAAGGACTCTCCAATTCTGGCCTCCACTCGGCTTTGTTAACTTTCTTTCTTATCTTAATCCAATCCACCATATATCAGAAAGCATAGCCACTGGCAGCTCCTGACCTTTTTTTCCCATGTAATAGTTTCTATCACTAGAGATGGAATGTCTCTTTGGCGTCAAGGCAAAACAATACAAAAAACAACAAATCTTCACAAGCAAGGGTACAGATTGACCCAGTTTAAGAGTCTGCATCCTCTATACCACCAGTCGGAACAAGGAGAAGGGGGTTAGACAATGGCAAGTCTCATGGGAACAATGCAGACAGATCAGAAAAAGACTCATACTAAATCAAATGGTCCCCTATCTAAAAGGGAAATGATAGGAAGTTGGTACTCAAAAAGCATTAAGAATATCACAGCTTTAAAGGGTGAACATAAAGTTTAGGACTCAGGAGTCTCCACATTGATAACAATAATCTTTCTGAGACTATTTGAAAGGGGTAGTCACTGTTAAGGCTGAGTGTTTGGCACCTGTCATGTGCTCGGCACTGAGTTAGGTGCTATGCTGGGTACAGAAGGACCTTACAACGGGATGGAGGACTGAGTGCATTCTAAGAAATACTTAAAATATAATTATATAGAAGATTGCCTCATCAATGATCTCATTTACAAACAGATCTCACGTTAGGTTTAAATTAAAGCTAGCCTCTCAACGAAACTCTCAATGATTTAGAAATAGCCCAGACTGCAGAAATCCGTATTCACTTGTTCATTCATTCATTCATTCATTCATTCACTCATAAGCACTTATATACTCACCATTGCTTTAGACATTCTATATGGCAATAAAAGTGGTACAGTCAGTTTCCTTCCCTCTAAATGCTTACCTGCTATTTTCTCTGCCTGGAATATTCTTCACCTCACTCCCATTTCCCATTGCTATCATTTCCTTCTACTTAACTTCTGTTCAATTTTTAAGATACCTACCTTGACTCTCTCACCTGGGTTAAGACACTGCTGTATGCTCTCATAGCGGTCTGGGGGCTCCCTTTTTGGGAAGTTATCATACTTGTAATATTTTTACCCAAGGTGTATCTTCTTTAGTAGAATGAAAGTCCCACAAAGACAGGGCCATGCTTGTTCTGTTCAGTATGATGTCTAGAACAGTGTCTCAAAAAATAGCAGGAACTAAATATTCATTAATTTGGTAGATACTTATTGAGCATCTGTGTGTCAAGCATTGCTCTTGGCACTGAAGACACAAAAGAGGAAAAACATAGACATGGTCCCTTCCTTGAAGGAGCTTATATGTTAGTCAAAGAGTTGACTTAATCATAAAAGTGTAACTCGAACTCATTTCTCAGAAGAAATAAGTGCCAGAGATGAAGTGACTTGAGTCGAGCCACATGGGGAATCTGAGTAGTACATTGTTGTTAATTTCCTCTTACATACTTGCTGCTTCTCTATGTGCATTTCACAAAGTACAGGTGGGTGCGTGAACTTCTGTTTAATCTAGTCTGTGAATGCCAGCAGGATGTTGAGGGCATCGTGAGCTGACGGAGTGGAGATAAACATGTAGAAATGAACATGGTTTTTATGTGCATGGAATGTTAAAGGTTAAGTCAGTACAGGCAGCCAGCTTTGGTGATTTCTCAACCAATTCTCTCATGGCTCCTACAAGAGTGACCGTCATATCCTTTATTGTTGTTTGCAGAACCTTGACATCTGGAGTCACTGGGAAAGTAGAAGTACTGGCATCAAAGGTGGCCGTATTGTTAGAGTTTAGTCAGAAACTGCTAAGAGCTCAGTCCTGAGCAGGGAGTTGCAGGAAGGGACTAACATGGATTATTATTGAGAAAGTAGAAGGGCTTTTTAGGAGATGGTGTATAAAGCAAGGAGATTTTTATAATAGGAGTGTATGAACAGCAAAGAAATAGCTAGCTCGAGTAAGGGGTGTATGTTGAACAATGAAAAATAATATAGGACAGGTACGGAATGGAGTCCCTGCAAATAGAAGAAATGGCTGTTTCTAAGAATGAAGAGAGAATGGGGTTTAGATTTCGGTTGATTTCTAACTAATCAAACGGGCTTCTAAGTTTAGAACCAGGAAGGACTCCCATGAGAACTGTACTGGGGATTTTCCTCCAGCTGAGGAACTGCCCTGGAAGGATATGGAGAAATCCTCTCATCCGTTCATACTCACATGATAGAAGCCAGTCTCTGGACCAGTTGTCACGTCAGGTAACCACACGTCTCCTCAAGTCAAATGCACCCCCACCTCCACCCAGAGCTGAACTGACCCGTCAGTGGAAACACATTGGGGAAAGCTGTCACCCTCGCCATCCTAACTAACCTGGGGAATGGCAGGGCCTGCACAAGGTTATCTGTGACTCTGCTCTCAGTGGAGGCCACACTGGCTCGGGAATCTCACCCGTTTCACCCCAAATCTGCAAGAAAGCACCTCAGTCCGGAATAACCACTTTTTAAAAAAGCAGCAACTTATGTCGATGTGATCTGAAATCCTTTGGCAATTTAAAGAAATGCTCTACTGAGGGCTATTTGTTAAGACCAGCAGTCAGCTTCTGTGATGGAGAGGTGGAAAAGATTATTTTGTTGTTTTTAAACAATGTGAGTTCAGAGAATGAGCTGCAGTGGCTTGGGGCTGTGTGGGGGGGAAGGGAAGTCAGAGAAAGCCATGCATACAACGTCTTAAAGAAAACGTTTTATTTTAAAGTGTTAAATACCATCACCAGAATGAATTTGACTTACATTAGTTGGTGTTCATTACAGGACTAATCGACCCTTTATTTTTTCCAACTGGAATTCCCTTTACTTTTAAAACATACTATGTACAGGGCAGCGATGGTCACTGGAATAGTGCTATTTACATGACTAAACCACAAGTTGAGGTGTAGATAGGTGAAAATTAAAAAAAAAATACACCAACTTTTAAGTAAATACTGCATAATAACGAGTATGTACAAATATTCCATACAGTCATGTCCTTCTTATTAAAATTAGAAATAATTTATATAGGAATATGCACAAAAGATTATGTGACTGCATCTTAGTATCAGGAAAATGGTAAACGTTTATTCTAAGGGAGAGTATAGACACTCTAGGTCTATTAAATCAATTGTTGCTGGTACACAAGTGTCTAAATTATTTCAATAAAGTTTTATTCATTCTTTGAACAACTCTATCCGGGTCCATCAGAGATCTCAGAACGTCAATACACAGTCTCAGTGTATTTCATATTGCACCACATAGAGAGAAGGCATTTTTAGTGATACTCATTTTAACTTTTGCACCATATCAAACATGATAGTTTTCAATGGTCAGCAGTGAATTTAAAAAGGAATAATAATAATAATAATAATAATAATAATAGAAATAATAATAAAATATTTTTTGTGCATGGCCTTGAAGAAATGTTATGTATGTGGATTTCAAAAGTAATTGCAAGAAATTAAAGTCAACCAATAAGAATGTGTCATCAAAGTGTACATTACAGAAACAGAAAGTATGGGTGATTTATTACATTAACCAGTGACTTTTCCTCTAAGAAGGAGAACTTCAGAGAAATTTGACCTTGAGCACCACCCAACGGTAACAACTGTCTGTCAAACCAAAGGCAGGGGTTTAACTTCCGGGAATTTGCATGTAGACTTTTGGTGATGGCATCAAAGAACTATTGATAGGCAGACTGACTTTCTTTGAGTCATCTAAAAATTAGAGCTTTAAAATTATTTGTTGCAAATTCATGTTTACTATATTTCTTTAGAAATATAATTTGTGAAAAATTGAATTTTACTACAGAAAATTGAATTAATAAACAGCCCTGTGTTTCAGGGCTCCAAAGTTTCAGGAGTGTTTCCATTCACATAGTAAATGGAAATTGGCTAAAGAAATCGTTTTAATTAATTAAAAACGAAACCTAAGACCTTCTAGAAATAATACTTTAACCCCTGTATGAATAATGCTGGTGCTAAAAACAAATGTGTTAGACATTACAATGGCCACGTGATTTTAGAATTTTTTTGTAAACTGAACTTTGAAGGTGAAAATAAAATTACCATGCACTGTACAGTAAATTGCAAAAGTTCAAATATCTTCTTTATCAAATACATGCTGACTTACTTTAATGCACTCCCAAGTCATGTTGCAAAATCCTTTTCAACATGCTTGAAATAAAGAAAGCTCTTACATAGTTTTTTTTCCCCTTGAGAAATTCATAAATTCAGAAGCATTTACAGCTCTGAATCAAACGTGGGTATAAGACAGTATATCATGTCAAAAACATGTTATTTTTTAGGCTAATGTTCACTCTGGTAGGGAGAAAGAAAATAAAAGATTAAAGGAGGGAGAAGAGGAAAAGTGAGATAGAGGAAGAAAGATGTGAACAATGCGCACATACTGAACTTCATTAGATTCGTATATTTAACATGGAAATAAATCGAATATATACTTGTCACATAAAGAGAACTTTATCTTCTAGAAAGTATTTCATTTGTAATGTCTGCCAAAACACAGACTCCGATTAAAGAATAAACATGGTGTGTCTTTGTATCACCCTGTTGCATTCTCGCCCCGTTTTTAAAACCATGCACTAGTGAAATTTATTTTTAAAAATAATATAAATTTTTGAAAATGGCTGATTTTTATTTTATTTTATTTTTTTGCAAGTTGCAGCCCCAAGAAAATAATTTAAGTATTCAGCTAATCTGTGTCCATGCAAAAAAAGTTTCTTTAGTTTCATTCAGTACAGTGTAGCCACAGAATTTTGTTTTTCAGAGTCCAGCACATCTTGGCCTTAGTGAATCACGTGCCTGCTGGGGCTCTGAGGTCTGCCACTGTCCGCGCTGGACCGGCTGCTCCTGGTCACCGTCCGCAGGAGCCGATGTCCTGTCCTGGACCACTTCTTTGGTCTCCTGCTTTTCACCTGGGACTTTACTCCTTGACTGGTAACGTGGCTTAATGGCTGTATAGCTCCATTTCTGTGGCATAACCGCGCTTTGGGGTCAGAGAAATGAAGAAAAAGGAACGATAAAAATATAAAGGTGCCATTGAAAAGGGCTTTTGTTGCATGAAACTGACTGATTCTTTGAGATTAATCCATGGCTTCGGATTGGACCAAAACTTGAGTATTAATTGAACTCCAAACCTGACAGTTCTTCACAGCTCCGCTCTGTCGCCTGAGGGCCTTCTTTAGGGCACAATGTGTGCAACTTCCTCTGAGAACACAGGATCGCTTCGTATCCCTAGAAACAGGCTCAGAAGACACAACATTAAGCATGCAGTGTTACCAGGGTTTGCGACCTGTGATTTTTTTTTTTTGTAACGCTGGTTGCTATGACAACAGTTTTACAGCTGCTATGAACGAGAGTAGGAAGGTCCGGTTGAACTTTCCAGGGATGACTGGGAAGCTCTTCTTGTCAGAGGGGCCAAGGTTGGATCTACTAGGGAGGAAGGGGGGAAGAGTTTGAACCATCCAATCACCATATTGGATAGCTCCAGTTCATCTAAAAGTATCTGGGCCACTCCCATAAAAGATTTGTGATCCATGCGGCCGTAATCTCCCCAGACAATGATCTGTTGGTAAAATAAAAAGGAGAGTGATGTCAGTATAATAACGTACTGGAAAACTTATAAAGTAAAACATATTCAATTAATGTGCTGACATCAAACATCAAGTAAAATAGTTGTATTTAATGCTAGAATAGTTGTCTTTATAACAACTGGAATCCAAAGATATACTAGGAAAACTGTACAGAGTGTGAAGACCATAAGTAGTCCAGGGAGACTGGAGTATATATGTGATGGGGGTTTGCAAGTCTACACTTCAGTTTAAAGGAAGCCAAGAACGGTGTCTATAGCTTTATAACACTGGCCATTGCTCTGAAGTTTCCCAAGAATTTCAGCTGTGAGCAATCCAAAAGAGTATGATAAGAAAAGATTTTGGATACAAGGTTTGACTCCATGAAAATACTTTCTTAGGTAAGGGGTAAACAATTCAGTAAATACCTGTAAAACCTTTCCTTGGGGGCTCTCTTCAAAAGATAACAGCTGCTGGTAAAGGGGTTCCAGCGTTTTTCTTGCCACTTTTGTTTTCTTTTTGGCTATGCAGACTCCATTATCTAACAGATACACCTTTACATACGGTGCTTGGGAAAGAAAATACAGAGGAGAGTTAAGTGATGAGCTGTCATGGGTGACATCGGCAACCGCTTAATCTTAGGCTGAAGGAGTGAGCAATCCAAAGTCAGTGGCCTTTTCACATGATGTCAAAGTTGTTAAATAAACCATAGATGATCAAGAGCCATTCAAGTAGTTTTAGGCAATGCTGACTCAGCCTCTGAGTTGATTACTATTTTGTCATCAACTGGTTATATGGATTTGAACTCTGCATCAAATAAGGTGAACTGCTTCTAGTCCCTAACAATATTCAAGAGAGATGTCTTACTCAGTCTTTCATTTATCAATACTTAAATCTAATTAAAAATGTTGAAACTATATTGTTTTATTCACCCAACACCACAAATCGCTTATTGATCACTCAAAAAAGTTTGTTTATTGATGGTGGCATGGGTACACAAGGGTGAGGTTTGATGTAATACGTTCAGATTAGCTGGGAAGAGGCAACTAATTATGAATCCCATGGCTTGAAATTTATCTGATAGACTTCATAAAAGCATTTTCATGCATGCAGAAATTATGATATTCTCTATAGCAGAGTGAGTTGACTAGCTCCAAGACCTTTATACACACTTGCCTTAACCACCACTACAAGGTTGTACAATAGGTCATATACATTATAATGCATAATTTCTGCAAGGATAGGAGAGTTAAAATATTCAAAATTACAGTCAGTCAGTGGAGGTGCTGAATGAAAAACCAAGTTTCAGAATCCTCAGTAATTGTTCTATATGTCAGATCCAATGAGCTATACTTCTCTGCACGACAAATCTGGAGTCTGGCACTTTCTATGCTGCAAGCACCTTAGTACGTACCTTCAGTACGAAATATGTGACATCAAAACCTATATAATAATATAGGTTTTATATATTTATTATAATATAATAAAAACCTATATAGGTGCCTCATTTTCTTTATATACTACAGGAAGGAAGAGTCTTATAATGAGAATGTCCTGGGTACAAAGGCTCATGCTCCGTTGGGGCCTGTATCTATTTTATTCTAATTCTAGAACTCTAAGAATTTCTGAGGAGAATTTTGAAGCTCCAGAAAAATTGAAGAATAACACAAAACACCAGGTAATAAGAAAAAAATTTTCTTATGTACATGTTGTACGAAATGAACAAAGTACGGCAGCTGTCACTCTTCAGCGACTTCTCCTGCCCGTGTCCTTATTCAGCAACTTGGATCATTCCCACCAGACCACCCTCACTGACCATCACTCGAGAGGCACACATGAACTGCTGCTAATGGTATCCTTGGTTATATAAAGACAAGGTTTTCAGCAGCTAATCGAAAACAAAGTCTCTGAATTAAAACGTGCGGCTTATGAACGAGAGTAGAAGAATTTCTCTTGTTTTTACCTGGCAGTGTCTTGGAACCTGGTTTTACAACGAGGCCACGGGCCCGAATGATTTCCACCTCCAACTGTCCCTTTTTGTCCATCATTCCTACCTGAATGTCACCTATGGTATGTGAGGAAGAAACAGGATTTAATATACAAATGCAGTGAGAAAAATGCTGCGCCAAAGACCTTGGTTTAATATCATTTCATCATTTCTCATTTAGTTCCTAAATTCATTATATTTAAAATTTTAACAATGATATGTCACTTTAAAAAGCATATAAATTAAGTGGAAAAAAATTAATTGGAGATATTTTTAAATCTTAAAATCTAAGATACACATTCCCACTTGACAGTACCATTAAAGATCTCATGAAATTAGTGAATGTGATTTTCAGTAACATAAAAGAACAATGAAATCATGTGATAGAAATTCTTACCCATTGCAGGTGTAGCCAGAGTCTGACGCCCCACTAGCTGGGCAGGGCCAAGGCCATCCAGAAAATCGCTGAACTGGCTATCAGAGGCCAAACGGACACCAGGGAAAATCAGACTAAAAGCAAAATAACGGACAGGATTAAACCCTTAACCTCGTTCACATTCAGGAAGCTCAGGTTTCCCTGTGGCCCCTCCCTGGGGCGGGAGCAAAAGGTAGCACTTTCTTTACCACGGACATTAATTGGACCCTACACCCCACTCCACCTCCACGGCTCTCTGCTCATTCTTGGAGTTGTCTTTACTCATTGTTATGGACTGAACTGTGCTGCCCCCCTCCATTCATCTGACGATGGCTTAACCCTCAGAATGACTCTATTTGGAGATAGGGCCTTTAAAGAGGTAATTAAAGTTAACTGAGGTCATAAGGGTAGGGCCTTAAATATGACTGGTATCCTTATAAGAAGAGGAAGAGACACCAGGGGTATGCATGCACAGACCAAAGACCATGTGAGGACACAGCGAGAAGGCAGCCATCTGCAAGCCAAGGACGGAGGCCTCAGGAGAAACAAAACCTGCCGACACCTTGATCTTGTACTTCCAGCCTTCCGCAACCATAAGAAAATAAATTTCTGTTGTTTAAGCCACGCAGTCTGTGGTATTTTGCTATGGCAGCCCTAGCAAACTCATGTGCTCTCTTTCTCTCATTAGTTACATCAAATACATCCATAAATCTCATTGGCTCTACTGTCAAAATACAACAAGAAAATCTGACCTCACTAATGCTACCACTCTGGTCCAAGCCATCGTTTTCTACCTTCCGTATTCCTGCAACGGCCTTCTGATTGATCTTCCTGATGCCACCTTTATTCCCCGCCCCCATAGCAGTCAGAATGATCTGTCTGAATTGAAGTCAGATGTCAGGCCTCTGCTCAAAATCCTCCATTGGTTTCTCATCCTTCTCGAAGTAAAAGCAAAGTCCTTACACTATGTAGAGACTATACAAACTGCCCGCCCTGCTCTCAATTCCTGTCTGCTACCATCCCTGCCCTTACCGCACAGTGCTGCCTTCCTGCTGCTAACACGGGGCAGGTTTCGGCCTCAGGCCTCAGTCTCTCTTCAGCCTGTTATGTTCCTCCCTGGAATATGCGTTTGCTCACTAACTTTCTTCAGATCTTTACTCACATGCATCCTTTTCCCTGTCTACGCTACATAAAATCCTACCCGTACCCTCTATTATCTCTCTTCCCATCTTTATTTTTCACCTTAGTACTTATACCACCTAATCCACTATATATTTTACTAATTTTTCTTGTTTAGTGGCTATCTTGCCTATTAGACTGTAAGTTTGGTGAAGGTAGGTTTTTTTCTCTCCCCTATTTTGTTCACTGATGCATCGCTAGCACCCAGAACTATGCTTGGAATATTGTAAGCACTTAATGAATGGTTACTCTCAATCAATTAAAACGAAGCCTGGAAACTTGTCTCAGTTTCTATAGTACCAAAAGCCCATGGTCTAACTACCGACGGATTTGGGCTCCCGGGTACGGCTTATATCCCCAACGCATAGCACAATGCTTAGAACACTAGAAGCTCTAAGTTGAATGAATCTATGAGCTTTCATCCCATTTCTCCAATAAGACTATAAACATCTGGAGTACAGGGGCCATAGTTTAAAAATTTTGATATACATAACAGAATCTAACATAGTGCTTTGCAATGATGAGTGCTAAGTGCACATTTACTCTTTACTTGATTCTCTATCTCTTTAAGACATTGTTGATCAACATCGAATTTATTTCTTCCTCCAACCTTAATTCCCAAATATACGGTTAATCCAGACATTTTAATGTTTCCATAAGTATCCCGCATTACCTTATTTATAAATGCATAGAAACCATATACATCTCTTGTGTATTGATATACGCACATACATATATATGTAAACACACACACACACACACACACACACACACACACACACACACACACACACACACAACCATGCTAGACAAATAAGCCTTAGGGTATATCATCAATACTCTGCCAGCAGCTCCTATGGCCTCGCATCAGTGAACGGGCTACAGATACGTTGTCTAAACATCTGATGTTTCCATGGGGATGACAGAATGGTCAGTAAGCCCCTTTCCTCTATGTATGTCCTTCATGTACACATCTATGGACCTGCGGTTATTAATTATTGTTAATTTGTTGGTGACAAGGCTACATAATTTTTATAACTGCTTTAAAAATATCTCAAGCACAGCTGATTCGAGGGGAAGCGACATGATAACTACAAAGGGGAAAGGCTCACCAACTCTCTCTGTGGCATTTCTTTTTGGCTATTCCGTTGGTCTGAACTGTTTGTTACTGCATGGAACGAAGTATGTATCAGCATTCTATACTTTTTAGTAATAACTCTTAGATAGAAGATTTTAAAAACTAACACTGTTCACATGGAGTGGCATGCATACCTATTATTTTTGTGCTTTTAGATATTATTTCAAGCTAGGGAAAATTTTTATTTGCATGTATTGTGAAAGTCACACTTTAGCATGTTGCCATTAAAGCAAAAACATTTTGTTCCCAAACCTATTTCCCTTGATATAAGAAGCTAGATATGTCACATTTCTCAGTGGCAGGAGAGCAAATGTCCTCTTCTAAGCCAATCGACCAGTGAAAATTAAAATGGCGCTGTAGAGTGTGTGAGTTTGTGAAAGCAGAGAGAGTGAGACAGAAAAGATGGCCTCGGGCAAAGCATGGAAGAGACGCGCATCATCGCCAGCCTCACTCACTTTCCTTCTGAGCTGTAGCTGTTCATGCTGCCATCTGTGGACTCTCGGCTTGCCTGTCGAGTCATCCAGTTCCTCATTTCCACAGCCAGGCCCGTCTCTGTACTTCTTTGGACAGTGCTCCGTAGCTTTTTACCTCCTGCTTCTGCAAAGACAGAAAACAAAAGGGGTGATAGCTTTGTTATCACCATCTGGTGACAAAAAGTGTCAGCCAACGCTTTGAGGTCCACAGATGAAAAGAACTGCATATATGCAAAGTGCTCTTATTAAGGAGAAAGAGGAAAAAAAGGTATTTCAAACAATGTCTTGTCGAGTGGGATGAAAATTTTCTTCGAGAAGTACAAAATACCATTGTTTTGTTTCCATTTAAAACAGTGTTTGAATTGGTAACAAAAGGAACTCAAGGGTTCAATCTAAGGAAAATAAACTTTGTTTTCATTGTAATATTTAAATGCAAGATCAATTTACACCTGTCTTTTTTCTTTTTCCTTTGTTTTTGACATAGTAAAAGAACTAGGCCTTTACATTATTTCCAAAGAACAGGTGGTGAGTCATCCTCAATTCTAGCCTTAATTTTCACAAGAAAATTTGTCTTTGTGGGGTGATTGATATTAGAAGGCAAAGAAAGCTATACAAAGGAGACAGATCTGTTTGAGAATAGTTTAACATCTGTTGGTAACTTTCAGAGATTCTCAAAGGGAATACAAAAACTCAGCAATGCCATGTGAAAGAGCTTTTTAATTTTTGGTTAGTGGTGGATAGGAGGTTTACTTATAAAAAGCAACTGGAAGACCAAATAGGAAACTGAGTCAAGTACCAGACGTGACAAAGGTAAGTGCTATCTAGAGAAGTCAGGGAGGAAGGAGCTTCACAAAGGGAATGGGCAGAGTGGAACCCAAGAAGAGGCAGAAGAGTGCTGCTGCCAAGGGAGATAGCGCGGACAAAGGCGTGAAGCTAAGAACGACCAATAACTAAAACATATAGGAGAGAAAGGGCGAGAGTGGGTCAGACAAGAAACTGAGCCCAACTTATAAACGGCCTCACATGCTGCTATGTGCAGCTGAGAGACTTCTAAAGTTGGAGCAACACGGTGACAATCCAAATTACCTATATTAATTTACTTCTTCTCAGGCCTAAATATTTATCCACATTGACCAGGTATATCATTCGCTTTTGGGGATTTGGTAAGCTCTTTTAGTGCCTGGTATTAATAATTTCATTTTAGATTAATAAATAGTTATTGATCTTGTCAGTGACTTGTTGAAATCCCTTTTACCAAGCTGCTTATATTTGCTCACCATTTTGAAACACTGTTTTAAATTTCATCTACTCTCCGCTCCCTACTTTAATGCACATCAAAATGCTTTAAAAAGCATATATAATCCAAGGCTGGTACTTTAGATAATTGATAATAAACATGTTGTACTGATATAAATTTAGGACAATAGAGAGCATCCCCCAGTGATGAGAAAAAACTCTTTCTGACAGAAGAATGTTACTTAAGAAATGTAAAAGGAATAATAAATTTTTTAAATGACCAATTTGTGACCTCCAGTGGAATAAATGAATCGAATAAGGCACATCAGTGGATGCTAACACCATTAGATGAAAGGACAGTCATATGAAAGAAAAAAGAAAAAAAATCATAACACAGATTAGTTCCACTTGTCAAAGGAAAACATACTTTAACACTGGGAGACCTGACTATCACCATCTTAATCAAGAGATCAAACTCAGCAGCACTAATAGTAGTGTCTCCTGACATAAAATACACAGTATCATATGTGCCGCCTGATACAAAATACACGGTATCACCTATCGAGTTGTTATGGACAAAAATACACAACCTGTTTCTCATCAGATCTTTAGAATCAACATCTAGTTTTCAAAAATACAGAAGATAGAGTAATAAGATAAATGACACAATAAAAAGAAATCAGACAAACTCAGAACATGGAATTTTGTTCAAGAGAATTGACCTAGTCTCTTAAAATAGTCAATATCATTAAGGTAGGTAAATTGTTCCAGGTTAAAAAATATCACAAAGATGTAACCATTAAATGCTATGAGTATACCTTGATTGGTTTCTTTTTGGGGAGAACAAAAAACAAAACAAAAAACTCCAAAAGCAAAACACTCTAAAAGCAATTCTGGACAAGCAGGCAAACTTTGAATATAGATTGGATATTAGATGAGTTTAGAAAACTGTTACTTTTCCTAGGTAGATAATGGTATGTATTACAAAAAAATGTCCTAATCATTCCAAAATACATGCTGAAGTATTTAGACCTGAAATGTTATATTGCCTGCAATTTCAAATGGCATAGCAAAAATTCATAAAACAAAGAAGATGAAATATTTTTTTAAAAAGGATGGGGATGAAGAATAGACCTTGGTATTCATACATTTAATATTCAGGATTTTATTATAGAGTGATTCCTAAATGGCCACACCAAAAAGTAATAAAATTTTGTTCAGGTGTGAACTGGAATCACAGAAGGTGCTAGGCTGGCCTCTGCATGTGGCCTTGCTGTTCACTTCCTGTGAGGAATGCCTGTGTTAAAAATCTCCATCGAGTGAGACTCACAACTTCTGTGAGGTCTGAAAATGTGGAATGCAGGTGTGTACGGGAAACAGGACTGTCAAAGGCAGTGAGATTCCCGAAGGTCTCAGGACACAGACACTGCAACGTCAAAGAACCACCATCTTTCATTTCATGTCTGACTCTATCATAGCAAGAGCGATGTGAAAACCTGCCATTACAGGGTGGTGAGAACTAGCCACCATTTGTCAAAGAACAAACAGCACGACAAGCATGTAATCTCTTTGTTTACAGATTGCTTTTTACATGTGTCCTCTTCAGAACAATTCTAACAATCTCATTTCACAGAGACAGCCTCCGAGGGCCCGAGGAGGTTACACAATTCCCTGAAGCCACACAGGAAATGACAACCAGAGTTTACGAATAGTCCCCAGACTCCAAATTCTCTGCTATTCACAGATTTGTTGTCTGAATATAACCAACGGGTCGTTTGTGCAGCTGTCCATGGAGATGGTACTAAGCTAACTCTGTAACTGCACGTGAAAGGCTCTTTGAGAAGCTGCTGGGGTAGAAGAGAGGCACAGGGAAGGGGTCAGGCCCTGGCGTCAAACCGTTTCTCTTTGAACTCCCACTCTGCCACGTACAAGCTGGGTGATACTGATTAAGTTACTTATCCTCTCTGTCACTCAGTTGTTTCAGACTGTGAAATGGCAATGATAACAATGTTTATGTCGTAGAATTTTTGTGAGGATTAAGGAAAATAATATATTTAAAATGCTTAGGATAGGTCTTATATATAGAAAATCGGTAATTAATGGTACTGTTATCACTATTACTACCACACAGGGAATCAGGAAACATGTATTTGAGGCCAAACTCTACCACCCAGTCGCTGGCTCTGTGGCCCTGCCTGAGTCATATCCCTGCTCTGAGTCTCTGGCTCCTTATTTATGAAAAAAAGCAGGGGAGGGAGAGGGTGACAGGTGATGTCTGAACAATCTGAGCTCAAAGTCTTTGAGTTTGTGTTGTACGTGTATGACAAAGACCATGATTAACAGCATACACTGAGGAGATAATGCTACTCATTGTCACCTGATGGAATCAAAGAATTCTAGGCATTCTTATACATGCTGAGCATTTATTAACGGCTCTTTAAAATATATATTTTAAATGTACTTTTATCTGATACATTTATAGACTTACTTAAAAAGTAAATGTATCTTTCAGTACCACAAATCCTTTGCATCACACAATAAAAGAAATTTAACCTAAATGTAATTCACTACGGTGATTCACAAATGGTGTTCCAAATGCTCTATCATGTTATTCAACCTAAAAACTGAATCTGTATAACACTGAATGTCTACATAAGGTAAGTGAGGTAGAATTCTAAGATGGTCCCCATGTTATCTTACTTTACATGGCAAAAGAAATTTTGCAGATGTAATTAAGGTTACTAGTCAGTTGAACTAAAGATAGGGAGATTATCTGAGTGGGCCTAACATACCCACAGGAGCCATTGAAAAGCAGAGTGCTTTCTCTGGCTGGTTCCAGAAGAGTCAGTCAGGAAGATATGAAGCACAGGAAGGATTCGGTGCACATTTGCTGGCTTGAAGAAGGAGGGAGACTCTGTGGAAAGGACCTGAGAGCAACCTCCAGCTGGCCTGGATGACAGTCAGCAAGAAAACAGGGACCTCAGGCCTATCCAACCGTAAGGAACTGGATTCTGCCGACAACCTGAATGACCCTGGAAGCAGATATCCTTCAGAGTCCCTGTTCAAGAACTCAGCCCGGCCAACACCTTGATTTCAGCCATGTGATACCCTAAGCAGAAAACCCAGTCATGCCATGCCATGCCATGCATGACCTATAGAACTGTGAACTAATAAATGGGTGTTGTTTTAAGCTGCTAAATTTGTGATAATTGTTAAGCAGCAATAGGTAATTTTTTAGATAATTTTTCTAAAGGAGAGATCTATGAAAATAATTTATTGTAACCATAGGTGGACCAATTGAAATTATTTGTAAGAATTCAATAGCCATGAAAAAAAAAACCATATATGTGACCTACAGAACTGTGAACTAATAAGTGGGTGTTGTTTTAAGCTGCTAAATTTGTGATAATTGTTAAGCAGCAATAGGTAATTTTTTAGATAATTTTTCTAAAGGAGAGATCTATGAAAATAATTTATTGTAACCATAGGTGGACCAATTGAAATTATTTGTAAGAATTCAATAGCCATGAAAAAAAAAACCATATATATTATACATATACATATACATACACAGGTGTAATAAGTGTGTGTGTGTTTGTCAAGATATTTAATAATACTCAGGTAGTAAACTACGGAACTAAGGCCCAGATTATGTTTTAGAGCCCTTAAATCACTCATTCTCCTGTTAGTTATTTTAAACCAAAATGCATTTGGAAGAGATGCCTGCAGGTGAAAATCAAGTTCTTGAATTGCAAAACATCGCAGGCAGAAAGCCAACACAGGAGGTGTCCCTGTTATTCTGCTCTGGTTAGTTTGATGACTCATTTACTTGGCACCCTCTGCATTCAAAGAAAGCCACTTGACTAAATAAACAACTGAGGGTCAGTT